GGGAGGGGGAGGCAGACAGGTGAGAGGAAGTGGGAGGCAGACATGTGAGAGGGAGGGGGAGGCAGACAGGTGTTTTACCTTCTCCTTCTCGATCAGTGACGGGATGAAACTGCGTTTGTCTGCAGGTCTGTTAGTGACGGGATGAAGCATCACGTCGTTACTGAAGAACTCCACTGTGGGCTGAGGAGGAAGAAGAAAGAGGCAGAGCAGTGATTTAACAACTTCACTGTATCTGATGACGTAATATCGAACTTTTGGAACTTTGTCCTTAAACAATATGAACTGGTGTCCAGGTGAGTCCTTCCTGTCCAGGACTTAATAAAGGGGTGGAGTCTCATGAGGGACCTGAACGTACCTGGTACTCATTGAAGTTGACGTCTCCGAACTGTCCTTTCTGCAGACGGTTAACCAGCGCCACCTGCTCATCTGATAGGACGATGTCACTTCCTGTCTTTTTGTCGTGGACTGTTCTCCTGCAGAAACATCGCCGTTAGCATCATTAGCATTCTCTTTGAAGCAGTGGAGGAGCTAGTATCATTCTCGCAGGCTCACCAGTAGTCCGGGTTCTCCATTTTGTCCAGGAATTCGTCGAGTTCGTCCTTGTTCCTGATTGGTTTGAGGATCTTCTTCCCATCCAGATCGTAGCCGATATGAGGGAAGTCTTTGTACCACTCCATGGGAATGTTCCCAACAGTGTTCCTGATGTCCTGCAACACAACAAGAACGTCAGAAAGTAGAACGATAATGAACTGCCGATGGCTTTAGAACCAAATCAATCCAGGATAGAACTCATAACCAGCACAGGACAAACCAAGAGAACTTCAGAGGCCTGATGACAGAGGACCCACAGAACAAAGACCATAAAGATCATCAACAAACAGAAAGTTCTAAAAACTCTGGAGAACGTGTCAGAAAAGAGACAGAACGTGGCCTCACCTCCTCGTCCGAGGAGTCGTGTTCGTACTCATCTTCTTTCTTTTCTTCCTCTCCCTCTGTCACTCCTCCCTCCTCCTTCTTCTTCCCCTCCTGTGTCTGCAGGTAGAACAGGAAACAGGTGACGTTCTACAGCAGTAGTTTCTCTGAGGTGAGTCACAACCAGCCAATCAATGGACGGATTAAACTCTACCTGCTGAGTCTGCTCTGACTGCAGCGTCACCTCATCTTCATCATCAGGTCCCTCCTCTTCATCATCATCGCTGTCACTCCCAGAGTCCTCCAGTCCTGAGTAAACACTGTCCTCGCTGTCGGACAGATCTTCGTCCTCCTCCTCCTCAGCAGGTTTGTTTTTGAGATTGAAGATCTGAAGAAGAAACCGATTTAAATGACCAGATCACACACAAGAGCTTTATTCTATTTGTCTCTGGGCTGTAGTTTAAAAGTCTGCGTAACAATACTTTACATCAGTTCCAATAACACTGTTGATAATTCGTGAATATGAGCAACTGTTCATCATCTGGCATCACTTCCAGAATGAAAATAAAATGTGTCTTCCGATTTAAACGAATCTAGTTGAAGTCAAACTTCGGGTCATATGAACAACAGCACTATTGATTCCAGTGTCATTTCAGCTTTAACGTGATGAAGCTTGATGGTTCCAGTAGAACAGTCAGAAAATGACTGTTTCAGATAAAGATCGTGGACCGAAGCCTCAGAACAGGAGCCAGACTCAGTTCATGACGATGTGAGGAGAGCTGCTCTAACTCTGGCTCCAGTGTGTTTAATTACACTGTTATTTAGCTTTAGCTAAGATTAGCCTGTCCATTCATGACTCCGTTTAGAATCTGCTCGCGGTATAAACGGCTGTGAGGTTGATCTGGACTCGGTCTGGTTTCAGCTTCACTTCGGCTTCATCCACTTTTTATCTGACTGTCGAGCAGCAGCGTGTTTTGGTTTAGCATGTTAACAGCTAGCTTCCTGCACCTCCTCAGGTGACCTCCGGTCTCACCTCATCCTCTTCTTCTTTTTCTTCTTCTTCTTCTTTACTTCTCTTCTTCGTCTTCTCTCGGACTTTCTTCATCCCTTCTTTCTCTTCGATGCTCTGCATGTTCCTGCTTCTACCCTCCATTCCCCCACGTGTGACCCTATATTATCTACGTCAAATACGTACACTTTACGTTTTTCCCCTGCGTCATCGGGCAGCGACGGGCTCTTCGTTACGCAGTTGTTAGTCTGATGGGATCGGTTGTAATTTTTTTATCGCTGAGTTTCCGTTAAAACTCATTTTTTCTATCCCCGCAGATCCCCGCACACCCCCGCACACCGAGCCTCCGGTGATCTGGATCACAGCTGTTTGTTCTGGAGTTCTGCTGTTTCTCACACGATGCTAACAGTTAGCACCGATAGCTCAGAGTAACAGCAGCGTTTAACAGTGCAGGGTGCGTTGGATTGTTTTTCTCCATGGAGTTTGCCGGAGGAGGGGCGGTGCTGCCCAGTGGGAACGTCCCAGCCTTCCTCACCAAACTGTGGACCCTGGTGGAGGACCCCGACACCGACCCGCTCATCTGCTGGAGCCCGGTACTCACAGCCACGATAATCCGACAGTTAGCTGCTAGCCCTAACGAAACTCACATGCTAACAGCAGATCACACACGAAATGACCACCTGTTCACCTGAGTCAATGTGACGTCACAGCCCCTGCTGTTTGTTTGACAGATAATCAGCTGAGAAGATTCTGATGCTTTGATGTCACCGCGTTAACGTCAGCGACAGTAACACTGATAACAACAATAACAACAGTATTAATACTAATAACAACAGTAATAACAACAGTATTAATACTAATAACATCAGTATTAATACTAATAACAATGATAACAACAGTAATAACACTGATAACAACAATAATAATACTAATAACTTCTTTTGGCCTCCGGTCACCGTCAGCCTCCGTCTTCCTGCAGACGCTGCATCCGTCCCTCTTTTCCAGCCTCACTTGTTAACCGGCGCAGGAGA